GCGTAATAAGTTTAGGTTTTATGTACAAGGCTGCACTTTTCAACAAACTGAAAGATAGATGCATTAAATTATACAAAAAATAAAGTTTATCTCAGGGTTAAACTTTATAAAACTTTACTGTTCTCTAATGTTTTATAACAGGTTAAACTTTATAAAACTTTACTGTTCTCTAATGTTTTATAACAGGACAAACTTTAGCGGTATACTTTGAAGGAAAAGCGTAATAAGTTTAGGTTTTATGTACAAGGCTGCACTTTTCAACAAACTKAAAGATAGATGCATTAAATTATACAAAAAATAAAGTTTATCTCAGATTTAAACTTTAATAAATGTTACTTTCTGACTGCAGAGAAGATTGTAAGTTTTAGTTTGATTATAACGATAGTAATGAAAAAAATTACTTGTTTATGATAAAATTTATTGTCTCCGTGTTTAAATAATTTGTTTTTGGATCTTTGAGGAATAAATTAACAAAACGTGTCGTTTAAATTTTCTAATAAATCAACGGTGCAGAGTGGAGAAGTGGCGCCACCTACTGTTGCTCTTCTTCGTTTACCGAGCTAACGAGCTAGCAARCTAACAAGCTATCAAGCTAACAATCTAGCTAGCTAAGAAGGTAGCAAGATAAGCTAACGAGTTAACAACCTAGTGAGCTAACAAACTAGCAAGCGAACATGTTTTTTGCACTTAATGTTTGGTTTGTGTTCAGAYTTAGACGCACATCAGGAACTATTTTTCTCCATGGAGGAACACGACCCAGGTGTGTCTCCGCTGAGACCTGATCTGGTTTCTGATTGGCTGGCAGGTCTCAGATTAGAAGCCATGTTTTTCAGATAGATTCAGATAATTTAATATAATATTATAAAGATATAAAATATTATAAAGTCGTAACAAGAAGCTTAATGTATTTAATAAAGGTTGGTTTATGGCTGTGTYGTTGTAATAAAGACCTTCAGGCGTTAATCCAGATTAAAAATTGGTAAAACTGGAGGATTTAAACTTTTGAACCAGCCCTTTAATTAGTGATAATTTATAAACGAAGTGATTTCCACCATCAGCTGATGGAACAAGAGCTTAATGTGTCTAAMTGCTATAAAACACCACAGCTACACTAATCTATGATAATCTACAGGATTATAATCTGACACATTTACATTCTGGATCTGAGGGCAGGTCCTGTAGAAAACCTCAGCTCTGTACAACTTTGGGATGTGATTGTAGCTCGGCAGGAGTTCAGCCTCTTTCACCAAACACTGGGAWGGGGAGGGGGCGGGGCTTCAGGTTAACCCGCTGCTGTCACGTGTCTGAGGTGGTAACAGCACCGCCGGGGGGGGCGGGACCAGAGGCAGCCGAGGGGCCGGCTCGTCCTCGGGTCGCAGAAATGTTTTGTGAAAGAGGCTCGTTTCGGTCATCATGGCAACAGGCACTGGAAGATTTGTTGTGCTTCGGAGGCGGGATCGACGGGGGCGAATTAAAACCTAAATAAAAAGTTTTAAAAAAGGAGAAACAGAGATTAAACTCTGGATTTATTTAATCTCCTTGGACCTGGACCCGGTTCTGGACTGTTCTGGATCCAGCAGCTGGTGTTTCCTCAAACTGAAAGACGGAGAGAAAAAACTTTAATTCAGATCAGATAAGTATAAAATATAAACTTTAACAGGATCAGGAAAAGATCTAATRAATTTAGCTTTAATAAAACTTTTCCTCTGAAAGTCTGGAAGCTGTTGTTCAAACTTTAAAATAAGAAGCGAGTTTATTTTAACGCTTCTGTTAAAAGTTTGAATTAAAGTGTCTGTGACATGATTAYCCTTCAAATACAAAAAGTCAAAGAAAACTGCTTTATTCTTAAGAAAATTGGCGTTGTACACGATTCTTCTTTAAATTTGGCTCAGCTGAAGTGAAACAGGAAGTGACATCAAAGGGGAACTCTTTAATAAAACAAACTCTTCGGTTATTGTTTATTAAATCAATATTATTTAAACTTTAACTCTTTGATCGAAACTCAAAATAATGTAAAGAAACAGATTCTTCTCTAGTCTGTTAGCTGTTGTAGCATCGCTCTGTTTACATGCAGACATTCCCCTGTGACATCACTTCCTGTTTCTTCACACGCCAATGTCTCAACAACCGTTCATCTCAGTGACGTGAAATTTGTTTTGCAATATTTTATCGATGATCTCTTTCCAAAAATGCATTTATGTTTATTACTAAAATYTGATGTCACAGACCCTTTAAAGATTGTAGCTGATGCAGAACTGTTTATATAAATACTTTTTAATTTAATTACAGCTGAGAAAATACATCTGATCTGAACTGTTTTAGTAAAAATGCACWGATTATCCAGCTGTTTTTGTTTGTTTGTTGTGCTTCACGGCTCGTTTTATAAAAACTTCAGATCTGGTAGCTCTGGAGAAAGCTCCATTTATGGCGGGAAGAAGATCCCTTATATGGCAGGGAGGAAACTCCATATATGGCGTGTTGGGGGCGGGGCGTCAGGGCTGTGTTTCAGGGTGACGAGTTGATGGGCGGGGAGGAAGAGGAGGAGGAGGAGGAAGGTCTGTACAGATGGCTTTGAGCAGGTAGCACCATGTACAGTAAGCCCTCGATAAGCAGGTTAGAAACCGGATCCCTGAAACTCACGACACGTCAACACCGAGTCACACTCATCGACAAGTCATCATGAATTCACCTGGAAATTCAACTCATTGTCAAATCATAACTACACCTGTTTCCAGACTAACACCACTGGAAGTCACCACCACGTTATTATTACTGATTGATTCTAAATGTTTCCCGTAACGAATGAATTAACGTCAGAATTAAACACAAAAGATTCAGGAGTTAGAGTTTAAAAAAGTCCCAGAAACTCACAGACCTCTTCACGGATCAGCTCGTTGATCAGCGCCTCGACCCGGGCCAGAACCTGTAACTTCAAACTTTATCTGTATTTAGAAAAAAAACACATTTCTGATCAGGCTCCGCCCACCAATCGTCCACGCTGCTCACATTTAAGGATTTAAAAGCTAAAAACAAACATTTAAAACAGTTTAAACTGTTTATATTTTCTTCTTTTTTAGACTGAAATTATTAAAATAATAAATCCTAAGAATAAAGTTGATTTTAGTTGCATCTAATGTGTAAAAGTTATTTTTAAGGTTTGAGAGATTACTGTTTTTTATTCAGTACAGTATTCAAATATCTATAGTAATTATTTACTCAATACTTTTTGAGCCAATTTTAAATGTAAATGAACTATTTTATTGGTTGAAAACGAAGATTTGTTTAAAACGGATTATTTTTTGTGTGTTTCGTTCTGAAACAGTGAAGGAGGGGGCGGAGCCAGGCAGAAGTGGGCGGAGCCAGACAGAAGTGGGCGGAGCCAGCGGTGGCACTGATCAAAGAGCTGATCCGTGGATGGAAAGTTCTAATAATTCAATCACAGCTAAGATGTTCTAAGAGGCCTAGCTTCTGAGCACAGGTCGGGGGGCGGGGTCAAGTGGAAGTGTCCAGCAGCTGTCGGAGGGCGCGCTCGATGTTGATGCGGTGTCCCAGCCGGGACACGCCCAGCTCCATGAAGTCGTCCTTGGTGAGGGAGGGCAGGTGGGAGCCTTCGATCTCGTGCTCCTGGAAGCGCTGGCGGTGCTCGGCCAGGCCCAGGCTCTCCAGCCAGTCGCCCACGTCGTATTTATTCCACAGGCCCAGGGGCCGCTGCCTCCAGGGCCGCAGGGCCAGCAGGGGCCCGCTGAGCACCGGGGAGGGGCAGGGCGAGGCGTGGGGCGAGGGCGAGGGGGACCGSGACCGGGTCCGGGCGCTGGCGCTCCTCATGACGAAACGCACCTCCTTGGGTTCTGACGGGAGGCTCAGGCTGGACGACTTCAGGATGGTCAGACCTCGACCAGAGCTCAGGTCCGGGCGCTCGGGGCCCGCGGCGGGGGAGGGGGGGAGCCCCATGGACCTGTCGGAGGGGGAGGGGGAAGGGGAGGGGCTCCGGCGGGTGACGGGGTAGCGACTTCCTGGTCGGACCGTGTAGCTGGATCCGTATCCTCTCTGAGAGATGGTGTGGAGTTCCCCCAGGCTGGAGAACAACCTGCAGGACCAAGAGACACGTTAGGACCAGGATATGGACCAGGACAAGGTCCAGGACCAGGAGCACCAGGACATGGACTAGGACGTGGTCCAAGACATTGACAGGACATGGGCATGGACCAGGACAAAGAGACATGTTACAGGACCAGGACATGGACTAGGACATGGTCCAAGACATTGACCAGGACATGGGCATGGACCAGGACATTGACCAGGACCAGGAGGACCGGGACATGGACCAGTTCAAATGAATCGTCACCTCTGACCTGAACCTGGAGTCAGACTGCAGCTTCCATGTCCAACATGTCTCTGTCCAACATGTCTGTCCAACATGTCTCTGTCCAACATGTCTCTGTCCAACATGTCTGTCCAACATGTCTCTGTCCAACATGTCTCTGTCCAACATGTCTGTCCAACATGTCTTTGTCCAACATGTCTCTGTCCAACATGTCTGTCCAACATGCCTCTGTCCAACATGTCTCTGTCCAACATGACTCTGTCCAATATGTCTGTCCAACATGTCTCTGTCCAACATGACTCTGTCCAATATGACTCTGTCAAATACGTCTGTCCAACATGTCTCTGTCCAACATGACTCTGTCCAACACGTCTTTGTCCAACATGTCTTTGTCCAACATGTCTCTATCCCAACATGTCTGTCCAACATGTCCCTGTCCAACATGTCTGTCCAACATGTCCCTGTCCAACATGACTGTCCAACATGTCTGTCCAACATGTCTGTCCAACATGACTGTCCAACATGACTGTCCAACATGTCTGTCCAACATGTCCCTGTCCAACATGTCTGTCCAACATGACTGTCCAACATGACTGTCCAACTTGTCTGTCCAACATGTCTGTCCAACATGACTGTCCAACATGACTGTCCAACATGACTGTCCAACATGACTGTCCAACATGTCTGTCCAACATGACTGTCCAACATGACTGTCCAACATGACTGTCCAACTTGTCTGTCCAACATGTCCCTGTCCAACATGTCTGTCCAACATGTCTGTCCACCATGTCTGTCCAACATGACTGTCCAACATGTCCCTGTCCAAGATGTCTGTCCAACATGTCCTCAGGTTCTGTTGCTGCTCTAAAACCGTCTCTTGTTACCATAGTAACACTGACCCTGTAGAATCCACGCTGTTTGTCGATCATTCAGCGAGCGACAGAAAACGAACGTAAACCACATGTCTGACGCCACAKTTCTGCTAATTCACTGATAGCGGAGCTAGCTTCTTAACGGATTAGCTTTTATGCTAACTTTGGAAACTGTTTCCACTAAAAGCTCTATTTTTATATCATTTGTCCTGAAATAAATAAAAACTGTCTCCTCTTACAAACAGTGCTGGATGTGTGTTAGCATGTAGCATCTTTAGCAGCTGAACTACAAACTAAGAGCATCAAAAATAAGTTTAACATTATTTAAATAAATTAAAAAACTGAGTGTGTGTAAAATATGTTAATGTTTTTACTATTTACTCTTTGTCTTTTTATAAAAATACAAACTCAATTAAAGACATGCTTTTATTCTGAAAGTATAATTTAGACAGAGCTAAACTCTTGCTAATCATCCTAGCGGTTAGCGTTAGCTTCTTCTAAAATAACGTTTTAATTTGTGGTTCTGGTTTTAGCACCTGTTCTTCCTGTCAGCTGATGATAACGCGCTAACATGACAGTACCTGGCTCCTCCCACAGGTGACCTCCGGCCTGGGTCCAGGGGACTTGGCTCCTCCCCCAGTGAGTGGCTGTCTTTGTTCAGCAGCTGCAGTCGGTTCGCCAGGTCGAGTCCGGACCCGGCCCGGCCGCTCAGCTCCAGCGCGGACGCCGAGCGGCTCGTCAGGTCCACGGCCGACCCGGACACCTGTCCTCCCAGCGCCGCGGGACGCCCGTCCTCCGGGCTCACGCCYCGCCGCTCCTCGTCCCCGCCCCCCCACAGCTTGGACCTCCTCTGGAACAGGTAGCGAGGCTGCCGGTTGCTGGTGGGGGAGGAGCAGAGCGGGGAGGAGGGGGAGGAGGAGGAGGACGCAGCGGAGGGGAGGAGCTCGCTGTCCGATGACTGCTTCAGTAACGGGTCCCGGAGCGTCGAGCGGCCCCGGCCAATCGGAGACCGGAGGCGTGGCTTCAGGGCGGAGGGCGAGGTGACGGCGGAGGAGGGGGAAGGG